CTGGCGTACAACATAGTGTTCAGTTCCTCTAGTCTTAGTTGGACATGAAAAATCAGAAACCAACTTTGTAGAATTTTACTTGTCACACCTTTTGTTTCTACCAGTTTTTTCTATTTGGAAGAATTTGACAATTTTTTTTTTGTTGATGCCATTTTTCTCTTCAAAATGAAAAACAGTTCTTCAAACAACTCGAACGCGGAGCATCGATTCTCACGTGTTCCAACAGAAGAAACTGATCAGGACTCTGAAGACACTCTATGTGGAGTCGGCACCTGTACACCAGGGTGGCTCCAGCGTTTTGCTGATCCAAAAATTTACCTGTTAAACTTTTGTGCCTTGGGGGTTATCCAAGGAGCCTATTTCACTTATTTCATTGGTGTCGTGTCCACTTTAGAAAAGAGGTTTGCATTTGAGAGTAAAATCAGCGGGATAATAATGATTGCTGACAACCTTAGCCCTATTCTTACAAGTATTCTTATTGGTTACTATGGCAGTTCTGGTCATAGACCAAGGTGGGTAGCAGGGGGTATGATCATAGTTGTGATTAGTTGTCTGGTGAGTGCTCTACCTTACTTCATTTTCGGACCAGCTCTGCACCTTCTCAGCAAGACCTCCGACATTGTTAATGGGACTCAACACGAGTTTTGCGACCGTGTGGGAAATGACACCAACTGTGATACTGAACATTTGTCGTCCACGTTCCCTGCAGTGTCCATTTTTTTCATCGGCAACTTCCTGAATGGATTTGGATCAAATGCTTTTTATACCCTCGGAACACCGTATTTAGATGACAACGTAAAGAAAAAGGATTCTCCGCTCTACTTCAGTAAGTAAAACGTACTTTCAGTTAACTAATATTTGTAAGCATATGATCAGACTTTATCATACACTTAGCTAGTCCGAGCTGTTTTTATCATTATTCAGTAAACGTACGATATTTTTCTAACTCATCAGTGGAGTTCAAGGACATCGTTTCGACGTAAGATAAAGTAGTTTTGAATATGTAGAAAAACTGTAGTTTTGACGATATTTAACAAAATAAAAACATCAAACTAATACGATGCGGTACATAAACATCAAACTAATACGGTACGATATATAAACATCCAACTAATACGGTACGGTATATACACATCAAGCTAATACGGTACGGTATATAAACATCAAGCTAATACGGTACGGTATATAAACATCAAGCTAATACGGTACGGTATATAAACATCAAGCTAATAC